CTTCACTCTCCAGGAAAAGAGGAACTAAAACAGCCCAAAAGTTGGAGATTAAATGCGGTGCAAGATTGAAAACATATCTAGTTTGCTTAATAACACAATGCCTTATCGCTGTGAGGGATTAATCAGTCAGGCTAGACTTTGATTGGCTGTTTTCATTTCTTTGAAGGGAAACTGAAGGTTTAGAAGTTCAATTTAAAGAGCTTTTCTTTTGTGGGCTGGAATTTTAAAAGGAAACGATGCTTTAGCTGTGTTTCCCCAGCGGGAAAGTGTGTACGGCTAGGTTCAGAATAGCATGCTAACTCGCTACTCTCTGCAGTATGCATACTGTGCACTGATGACCTACTGCATTTGCCAAGACACACAGCACAGAATAATGTATCCCAGAATGCAATGACCACAACTGGTCATTCCGTTTCCATTCTGTTTTTTTTGTATGGAAGGCCATTGGGGCCAAAAGTGTATAGAACACATTAAAGTCGATTGCATCAACATGCTTATTTTAAGCATATCAATACATCAACAAACACAACAGCCTATGAAATTGCTGTGTTTGTTGTTTGCATATATGACCCATGTAAGTACACAATGTTTGTACTTCCATGTTAAACATCATATTTATGTCACAATCCATAAAAGTAACCGTTTCAACAATCAAACTGTTTTTTAGCACACATAAACACACACACTTTGACTGTTAAAACAATAGTTTTTATGGGTTGTGACATAAATACGACACAAAGCGAATGCCCTAACACAGTGGTTCTCAAACTGTGGCTTCCTTTTAGTGATACATGGAGGAAATGGTGAATGATTAAAAAATATGCAACAAAATGAACACACCTTTAACCCTTTGCCACATAAGATAACACTGTTGTGATCAGTAAATTAATTTTAATAAGCTAAACCTTTTATTTTATTTTTAATTTCTAATGTTTGTTATGTATTCTATCATTTGAAGCTAATTTGTTGAGGGCGTATCCTGTATTTTTATATCCCAATGTTAACAGGTATGGATTAATCACTTTTCTAACGCGCAGTAAGCAGATCTAATTTCTGATTTAAGTATGTAAATCCAATTCATATATTTAAAATAACAGTTAATGTTTAGATTTCAAAGATATATGTTGCATGTGTATTTGACTTATTTGTGTATTTAAAAAAATATCAGACATAGTTAATACATGAATATGATGACGTATAGCCTGTATTCATGATGTCCAAAGAACATTTCCAGGTTTTGATGAATAGGCTACTTTATGATAATACTTTACAAGTACAGCAGATTTCTTTTTACTTTTCAAGAACAGTGTTATTTTTAATTCACTTTTAAAAGCACATTTTAATTTAAACGTTGATGTTTTCTTTCTTTATTTTTTTACCTGTAAGCACAGTGCAGTGTTAATGTTCAAACTAATTATAATGATTAAAGTGTCTGACAATAATAAATATTCTTAATAAGAATAAATCTGCCACGTTTTTGAACTGCGCAGAGCTGTAGCTGCTTAATTTGGCCTACTAAGCTACTGTACTGTAGAAAGTAGAAAGTTAAAGTTATCATGGTGGTACTTGTAGAGAAAAACATTTTCTGAGGTGGTACTTTGTTAAAAAAAGTTTGAGAACCCCTGCCCTGACACACTCAAGCTGTGTGTGCTAATAAGTTGTTTTGAAGACTTTTGGCCCCGATTACCTTCCATAATGTTAAGGCTCATTTTTCTGTCAAACTGTGACCAGAAGCTGCATTTTACGCAAAGTTTTTGAAGTATGAATCATCTCATCATCTCTTCTACTGTTAATTAAATAACAGCAGACTAACAGCACATTCTGAACACAGCTTGTGTTTTCAAATAAAATAAGATTAGCATTCTGTGCTAACTAAGTTTTCGCAAGTGCTGCATTACATTAAATTTAAGCTTTTGATTGCGAGTGCAAAGACACAACTCCGCCATGTGTTTTGGTCATCTGAGATTCAGTCACAACACTGTTGCACAATTTGACCATGATATAACACTAGCAACAAGATGTCCAAACCCCTTGTTTGTGCTTTCTCGCCTTCTACAACATCTCAACAGCTAATCACTGACAGATCACATGAGTATAACACAAATCCCACTTGTCAAAGTGAGCACAAGACATTTGAACAGTTTAGTGTGTGTGTTCTGTAATAAATTTGACTGTTATATTAGCCCCAGGATCATTGGAAAAACATGCTTGTGGTGGCGTTTATGCAATAATACATTGCGTACCAGTTTCCACCTGGCATTAGCGTTGCGTTTTCAGTGATCTAATCGCAGGTGGTCAGCAGAGACCATTACTAGGACCATTTCCTCTTATTTTCTCACTGGTTTTATGGAAGGAAGTCTAAGCCATGAAGTTTGAGGCTTGTGGTGTTTGTGAGTCCCACAGAGAAGCTCTGGAATGGAGAGAAGTGACAACAGTGAAGAACGAGAATACCAAGGTTGGAACATTTATGCTTGTGTTTTGTTTTTATGCGGCAGGTCATTTTGTTGTTGACTTGTTTGAACGGTTACATTGGTGCCGAAACCCAGTAGGAAGGAGGAACACGCTGTCAATAGAGCTGGTGGGAAATGCCAGGAGGGATGAATCCACTCTCTGTCGTCTGTCAAGTCATGAAGTAGCAGATGAGGACTAAGGGGGCTTTTTGGTGAATTTAACATGATAAGGCTGAGCAGGGAGATCAAGGTAACGAGGGGCTCACTGCTGGACATCCAAATCTGTGGTTGGAATTGGGAGGGTGTCTCTGGCCTGCAATGGAGCAGTAAGGGAATATGAGATGATGTGTAGAATGAGGCAGAGAGCCAAGAGAGTGGAGCGAGACCGGTGTGGTGTGAGTGTTTATGTCTTTGCTGGTCTCCTCTTTCTTCAAACTTTGAATTTTGTTCAACACAGCAAGCAGACTGTTGGTCATTGGGCAGCATAACTCCATTGGTGAGCATCTGTCAGAGTTTGTTTGGTGTGTCCTACACGTTGTCCTGCATCAGGCTCAAGTCGTAGAGAGTTTGCCCGATTTACTATTTAGAATCTGTGTCGGCTGCTCGGTGAAAGAGCTCTGATTGGCTCTCATTTAGATATGAATTAGAGCACGAGAACAAATCTAAAGTGAAGAAAGAAGAAGAAGCCGTGTATATTTTCACTGTATTTCCTAAATATTTGCAAATAGTATAGACTATCAGACATATTTGCTTGAGCGAAACCCACTGTGGTAAGCGAGAAGTCCGTAAACACTGCTTTATTTGCAGCTGGTATGTGTGCAGCACTAGTTCCAGTTTCCTTTTGTGGAATGACATTACAGATACTGCCACCTGCAGGTATGGAAAGATACGTCATCTGGTGCAGGCGCAGAAAGAACATTCTCATTTCAGTCAGCTGTTGTCCATGTGGTGCGTTCACGAGCAGTTGTTTTGTTCCTGATGGGACCAGACAAAGCCAATCCAAGCCATCAACCTCCAATTCTTTGATTTTGGCTTGATGAGTCCAGGGTTTTAGGTTAGAAGGCTGTATTTGGTCGTAATAATAGTATTTGGTCTTTCATGGCAGTTTGAAAGCATTCAAACACATGAGTGTTTACACTCTGAAAGAATCCTGACCTCTAGAAGTGGGCCAAAGTTGACGAGTTTTACACCTTGTTATGTTTTAGACCGGCATTTAATGTTGGCCACTTATGAATGATTAGATGAAAACACATCTTAATACCAGGTGTAAACATGTGCTAAATGTGTAATCAGTTTTATCTGAGATATATGAACTGATTGATTACGTTAGTTGTGATACACTTCACTCTAGTTTAGAAATGAATCATCTTGTGAGTCAATCCAAAAGTGCTCAGTTGCGTTTGAACAATATGTAGTACCGACACTAAAACTTTTAAATTGCTTCTACAAGTTTCTGACTCAGCACTCACTTTGTTGTACCAGATGAGCTTCTGAGCAGGTTTACTACACCGGAATAGCTGTACATACTTTATGGAGCAGCTGTGTTATGGTAATATTCATTTGTGTGAAACGCAGTAACAGCTGTTAGTGTACTACCACTAAATGTTTCTCCAATGAGTCTAGTTTAGTAATATTATTGGATGTCTGATGTACTTGAGCTTTTTGATCATTCGGTGCTGTCCATCATGTCTTGGTTTCAAAATATGTATCAGTGCTTTTATGTTATGTAAAAAAAAAAAAAAAACTAAGAAAAAAAACAAACAAACACCTGCAGTCCACATTCTCACTGAATGTTGCGTTGGAAAGTCAACTCCGGTCTAACGTGGAGTTCAGAGCAGTTGGGAGCATGGTGAATTCTAGATCTTTGAGGCACTTCTTCAAAACAACACATTTTATCTCCCGTTTAAAATCGACATGGGTGGTTAAAAGCATGTGGTTCCAGCACAGCTACCCACTGCGGATGAAACCATCATGGTCGTCAATTAAAATGTGCCACTTTGCATCATAGAAGGCATCATAAATTCTTCGATTGGCTACCTACACTATAATACAACATTTACCTTTAAACATTATACATTCTTGTTTTGCTTGAGGACACGCCTCACAAGATTAAAGAGAATCCCCAAAATAAGAAAAATCCAACAAAACAAAAAGTGCACATTAAGTTAGAACTGTCATATTTTGCTAGGGTTGATGGAAATGTAGTCTCTGGTGGATGCAGGCACACATCGATGGAGCTAAAATTGAGTCCCAGGCAACAGTGCGCGCACACACACAAACATGGGCCTTAAATGAAAGAGGATGCTGGGAAGCAGGAAGACAATCAACAGCTGAAATTTGGGGAATAGTTCTGAAGTTCCTCTAGTCCTTTCTTCTTCCAGTGTAACCCCAAAATAACTCGGGGGAGGGTCCGAACTTGAAGTCTTAGTGTCGCCTTTTACCACGGTTTTTAGAAAACTTCTATGTGAACACACATAGTCTGAGCTAAACTCAGCTGTAGTAGTTTTGTAGAGCCGCAGGCAGAGAAATACAGGCCGCAGTGTTCTTCCCTCATACGGTTTCTTCAGTGGAGAGCAGCAGAGGATTAATGTACTCGAATCCCTCAAACTCAGACTGGTCTATTCTCTTTATCACATCCCTGAGGAGAGAAAACAACATTATTCATTTAGGAGCTACGATTCAACTGTACATTTTGCACTGTGGCTCAAAACAAACGCTGGAAAATGGTGAATAAGGTGGAGAAATAAGGCTAATAGTGCAAATGAGGTGGATCCCCAAAGCCACGCCGACTTATTACATCATCAACAAGTACCAAATAAGAGGTATTTACCAGCCAAAGTGAATTTTTCTGGAAAAAATATGTAGGCGACTACGTATAAGCAATAACAAGAATTGCAGAGAGAACTTTGCCCGCATCTCATTTTTACATATACATTCATTAATTAGCAGACACTTTAATAAAAAGTGAATAACACGAAGATTATTGCAAAGGTATTCACCCCCTGGAGGCAAAGAGTTTCTTGAATATAAGCTTAATTTATTGCCAGCGTGATTTAATGCAGTGGTGATTCCCAACATTTCTTTTTGGTCTATAATTGGTTGAACTTGAGAAAAAAAAAAGAAAAAGAAAAGCATTTTTTTTCCAATATCTGTTATTTGGATGCAATTGCAATATGATTATTTATGTTTGTTATTATATTTTAATTACTATTTGTTTTTGTTTGAGATGAATGTCTTGAATATGTGATCAATGTGACCTTATATTTGTGGTTTGATTAAAATCAGCTGAGATTTTGATTATTCAGTAATGGGTCAACTTGAGAAAATTCCCAACAAATAAAATGATTAAATTTACAACTTCAAACATGTATGATTTGTACTATAATAGTAATATATATCTATATACAGTTGAAGTCATAATTATTAGCCCCCCTGAATTATTAGTGCCCTTGTTTATTTTTTCCCCAATTTCTGTTTAACAAAGAGAAGATTTTTTTCAACAAATTTCTGCACATAATAGTCTTAATAACTCATTTCTAATAACTGATTTATTTTATCTTTGCCATGATGACAGTAAATAATATTTGACTAGATATCTTTCAACACACTTCTATACAGCTTAAAGTGACATTTAAAGGCTTAACTAGGTTAATTAGGTTAACTAGGCAGGTTAGGGTAATTAGGCAAGTTATTGTATAATGATATTTTGTTCTGTATATCTGTATGTTTCTGACTATCGAAAAACAATGATTAAAGAAGCTAATAATTTGACCTTAAAATAAATTTAAAACTGCTTTTATTCTAGTCTAAATAAGACTTTCTCTAGAAGAAAAAAAAATATTATCAAATATACTGTGAAAATTTCCTTGCTCTGTTAAACATCATTTGGGTAATATTTAAAAAAGAAAAAAATATTCATTCAATCATTAATTTTCTTGTCGGCTTAGTTTCTTTAATTAATCAGATGTCGCCACAGCGGAATGAACCGCCAGCTTATCCAGCAAGTTTTTACGCAGCGGATGCCCTTCCAGCCGCAACCCATCTCTGGGAAACATCCACACACACACTCATACACTACGGACAATTTAGCCTACCCAATTCACCTGTACCGCATGTCTTTGGACTGTTGGGGAAACCGGAGCACCCGGAGGAAACCCACACAAAGGCAGGAAGAACATGCAAACTCCACACAGAAACGCCAACTGAGCCAAGGTTCGAACCAATGACCTTCTTTCTGTGAGGCGACAGCACTACCTACTGCGCCACTGCCTTGCCCAGAAAAAAACAATAAAATAATATATATATATATATATATATATATATATATATATATATATATATATATATATATATATATATATATATTGCGTGTGTGTGTGTGTGTGTGTATATATATATATATATATATATATATATATATATATATATATATATATATATATATATATATAACCTCAGGAATCCATTGATCACCTGCATGTTGAGGATATATGCTCCACCTCTTCAGTGGCGTAATGCTGAGACCATTCAAAACTCGTTTATCACATTCTGTCAAACACGGTCCGTGGAGGACAATTCTCTCCAACAGGCTGTGCGAGAACTGATATTTCACCAGATCCGGGATCAGTGCCCAATTGTGTTTGTGCTGTGTCTGTTTGAAGAAAGTCCCCGGAGGGCCACTTGACTCTATGTGGGTGTGTGTGGGGTCCAAAAGCCTCCAGCAAGAGGGAAATCTAAAATAACACCAGCGACACCTTTATGCCGTAATATCAAGCTCAGGTTTCAAAGGCTGTGCAGGGGGGAAATACGAGATGATGAAACACAGAAAGACGGACGTTCTGGGCACTGACCAAAACAAACAAGCCTCTTTACTACACCAATGTTTCTTCAGAAAAGAATTACGAGGTGGAGCTGTTTTGGAATGAGAAAACAGCAAAGCTCTGGTTCTGTTTTCTCAAGTGGTACATTTTCAAATAGTTTTAAATAAAAATACAGAAAGCTGTTCATTTAAAACCTGCATTGCTGATTTTCTTTATTCTAAAAAGTGACCAGGCATGTGACGCCACCCTCCCCCTAATTCATTTTTTTTAAGTTACACATCAGACTTTAAAGTATTCCTCCAATTATTCGTTACAAGCAATCATAAGCTAGAAACAGCTATTAAATATTGTCTCTGTGAAAAGTGTATAGAGCCACTAGTGACCCGAGGTGTGTAATAAATAATGTAAGTACATTTATCCTGGGCAACAATAATAACAAATCTGATGACACCTTCATTCCTCAGAGGGTAATGTCTTATAGAAGACATTAATGTCTTTAATGTCTGAAAGAAGGTCAATGGTTCGAGCTCCGGCTGGCTCAGTTGGCATTTCTTTGTGGAGTTTGCATGTTCTCCCTGTATTCGCATGCTGTAGGTGAATTGAATAAGCTAAATTTGCCGTAGTGTATGTGTGTCAATGCAAGAGTGTATGGATGTTTTGGTTGCAGCTTTAAGGGCATCCAATGCATAAAACATATGCTGTATAAGTTTGCGGTTCATTCCGCTGTGATGACCTTTGATTAATAAAGGGACTAAGCCGAAAAGAAAATGCAAATCAAATAAGTGTGACTGATTCACTTGATGGTGAGTTAGCTGTCTTTGATTAAAATACTGACTGACTGAAGAAATTAGTAACAATAGTTCTGAGTATACTGTTTAAATTGTGAAAATGAGCGAGTCAGAAGCTGACTGTACTGGGGAAATGTGCTCTGATGACAGAGATGGCAAAATCATCTGCTTAAACTGAACTCATTCAAGTTCCAAAAGGAATGAAATCTGCTTTATTTGATTGTTTTGTAATTGCTTTTACAATATCAGGTGTTTTTTTTTTTTTTTTTTGCAATTGCAATTGCAGCAAAAAGAGATGTTTTTCTGTTATGTTTAGCCCTGGGTCGCTAAAAACACAAATTTGTGATAATCAGTGTTGGGGAAAGCTACTTTTGAAAGTAATGCATTACTATTACTTTTGACTTACTTTTTCATACCTTACTGAGGCTTGATCTCTTTCAGAACTTACAGGGTATTTTTCTTATTTATTTATTTATTTATTTATTAATTAATTAATTTATTTAAATAGAGGAGGTCTGATTTTAATGACACACTGTAACCTACACCTTCATTTACCCAAAAAAAAAAACTATTAAAAAATGTGAATAATGTTACCTTCTGAGAACTAATTGAAGTTCTCAGGCATGCCAATACATGCCGTATATACAGATGAATGAAAGTTGAAAGCAAGGTGTTTGCTACTTTTATATATATTTTTTCATTATTTCAGTAAAATCACTGTCCATTGAGACTATCCCTTTTTCTTCCTTGTGTTCAAAATAGTGAGAATACTTCCATCACGGAAATGTAAGGCTCAGCCATCTTGGTTTCTGTCTGTTCCCGCAGGCAGCTCATTCTCTTATTGAGTGTGATTCAATGCGATTACACTCATTTTCATTCAGCAAATTATTTTTTAAAAGTGAATTAATTTATCTAAATACTCAAATACAACTCAAATATTATGGCTTAATTTTTAAAGTAATGTGTATAACTCAATACTTAGAAAAGTATTTGTAATGCGTTATCCCTAACACTGGTCATAATGTTTGTTTTACACGCTCTTTACGCAATGACAATAAGAAAGTGACAACATACATAAAAAATGTTTAATTATGTAATTTAAGAAATGTTTTCTTTTTGTAAAATTGTAAAATGGGTAACACTTCATTTGAAGGGGTGCTCATAAGACTGTCATGACACCTTTATAATCATGACATGACACGTAATGAATACGAAGGACATTTTATGCATGCATATGACAACTGTCAAGTGTGATTCACTCAGTTACTTTAAACGTAAAGATGACATAGTTTGAGATGTCTTTGTTATGAGAACTTGACATTACCAAGACAACATAACCATGTCATAAATCTGTCATAAACATAATTATCATGAGGCCATTATAACTGTCGAGTAACAGCTTATATATATTTTTGACCTCAACCACATTGGTGCAAATTGAATTTTTCATTAACATGTCATTAAATATTAATATATTGTGGCACAGCGAGTAGCGCTGTTGCCTCACAGTAAGAAAGTCGTTGGTTCAAGCCTCGGCTGGGTCAGTTGGCATTTCTGTGTGGAGTCTGCATGTTCTCCCCTTGTTTGCGTGGGTTTCCTCTTGGGTGTTCTTGTTTCCCCCACAAGCCCAAAGACATGCAGTACAGGTGAATTGGGTAAGCTAAATTGTCTATGTGTGTGTGTGAATTAGAGTGTTTGGGTGTTTCTCAGTGATGTGTTGCAGCTGGAAGGGCCTCCACTGCTTAAAGCATATGCAGGATACGTTGGCGGTTCATTCTGCTGTGGCGAGCCCTGATTAACAAAAGGACTAAGCCGAAAAGAAAATGAATGAATGAATGAACACAAGTATAATGGACATATGACAATCATATTTATGACAGGTTTATGACAATTTATGATGTCTTGGTAATGTCAAGTTGTCATAACAAAAACAGGTTGTGAT